CCACCCTGCCCCCGTTTCTTGCCCGGCCCCCCTGGCAGGGACCCCCAGCCCCATCCTGCAGCGGCAGCCCATGGCCTCACCTGCAGCACGGTGCGGGGCAAGGGCGAGGAACAGGGTAAGCAGCAGTGCGACTGTCCTTGCCACGAGCATGGTGCCTGCACAAGGGTTGCTCCTCTGTCCCGCTTTGTGCCGCCCTCCCTGGTGTCTGGGGCTCCAGATGGGGCCGCGTGGCGATTTATCCTCCCCTCGCCACCCACTGCCGCTGCTTTTCCAAAAATTTCGGGGCTGTTCTGAGAAGGCTCTTCCCAGGTATGGGGGGATTTCTGGTGTTGTTTATTTTGGGTGGAAGGAGCCAAGGGGTGGCGCGACCACTTCTGCTTTCTGCGGAAGAGCTGTGGGGAGGCTCAAGGGAACCGAAATGTGCCCAGGGAAGGGGATGGAAACCGCGAGGGCCGGGGTCGGGGCTGAGCTGGGGCCACTGGTGGCTAACAGGGGGGGGGGGTCAAGGCCCGCGTGGGGGCCTGCACAAGGGTTGCTCCTCTGTCCCGCTTTGTGCCGCCCTCCCTGGTGTCTGGGGCTCCAGATGGGGCCGCGTGGCGATTTATCCTCCCCTCGCCACCCACTGCCGCTGCTTTTCCAAAAATTTCGGGGCTGTTCTGAGAAGGCTCTTCCCAGGTATGGGGGGATTTCTGGTGTTGTTTATTTTGGGTGGAAGGAGCCAAGGGGTGGCGCGACCACTTCTGCTTTCTGCGGAAGAGCTGTGGGGAGGCTCAAGGGAACCGAAATGTGCCCAGGGAAGGGGATGGAAACCGCGAGGGCCGGGGCCGGGGCTGGTGTGGGGCCACTGGTGGCTAACAGGGGAGGTGGCTCAAGGCCCGCGTGGGTGCCCTGCATGGCTCCGTCCCCAAGGGTGAGTAGCAAACGAGCCCCTCCAGAGCCGGAGCCCAGCGACCTGGGGCAGGGGCATGGGGTGAAGCAAGGGAGCACTTAGGATGGGATGGGGTGGGATGGGACGGAGATGGGATGGGGGTGGGATCATAGAAGCAGAGAACCATAGAATCATTGAGGTTGGCAAAGCCCTTTAAGCCCACCAAGCCCAGCCATTCCCCTAACCCTGCCATCCCACCACTAAACCCTGGCCCTAAGCACATCGGCTGCCCGGCTTTTAAATACCCCCACCGATGGGGACT